CAACAATATCATTATTATTCACATTCACCTTACATATTTGTTGAAAACATTTTGTGGAATTTGTAATGGTATAAGTATTTGTATCACTCAGGAAAGAATATTTACACGATAAAAGATTTAGCTACGTTGTAAAAGGATGAACCTATGTTTGATACTATGGGTCTATAGGAATCTCCTATTTTGTGAACTTTTGGTAAAGAATAAAATCTTGGAATTAGAAAACTACTTGGAACCAACCATTTTTTCTGGGGGAGTTAGGCTTATACAGTCCTTAATTTTTTTAACCAATTCATTAAGTCTATTAAGAGAGTTGGTTTTAACCTTTTCATCCATCGTTTATTAACTGTTCAACATTCTAAATATAGCCCTTTTATTTATAGTTATTTTGGATAACTGTTTAACAACCTTTACAAAGTACAATATCCAAATTGTTTAACGACTTCAAGATTTGTACATCTTCATTTTTCTACAAATTGACTTTAAAATTACTTATTTATTCTTTACATTCAGCTCTGGCTGTTGGACTTATGTAGCACACGGTAACTGTTTTGCGCACTCCTGATAATGACGTGAAACCTCGTTGAAACATGTAGAGTGATTCTTACAACCACTGATCGGTTCAGATACAAATTGAAATTGTGTATTATAAAACGTTGTACGTTTGTGGATTTGAATGTTTTAGATACATACACAAGTTCCTTGAATTTTAACTTTATAATATCTCTCCTCTGGTCAATTTCCTCAATATTTTCTATTTGGAATATCCCCACATCTCTCCCTAGAAAATTCCTACAAACATTTATTCTATGGAATATCCCCACATTTCTTCCTAGAAAATTCCTACAAACATTTATTCTATGGAATATCCTCAGATATCTCCTGTGGATAATATATTCAAACATATTTTACACGGAATTTCCATTACATTTCTCCCATGAACAATTTCTTCTAACATTTTCTATTTGGAATATCCCTTGCATTTCTTACTTGTACAATTTCACCAAACGTTTGCTATTTGGAACTTCTCCCGCATCTCTTCCTTGAACAATTCCTTCTAACATTTCTTATTTTTATTATCCCCCGCATCTCTTCCTTGAACAATTACTTCTAACATTTCTTATTTTTATTATCCCCCGCATCTCTTCCTTGAACAATTCCTTTCAAAATTACCTATTCTTATTATCCCCCGCATCTCTTCCTTGAACAATTACTTCCAACATTTCTTATTTTTACTATCCCCTGCATCTCTTCTTTGAACAATTCCTTTCAAAATTTCCTATTTTTATTATCCCCCGCATCTCTTCCTAGGACAATTCCTTCCCACATTTCCTATTTTTACTATCCTTTGCATCTCTTCCTTGGACAATTCCTTTCAACATTTCCTATTTAGAATATTTCTTAAATCTTTACCCTAAACAATTTCTACAAACGTTTCGTATTTGGAACATTCCCCCATCTCTTCTCTGGATCATACCTCGGTATTTCCTCCAGGGATATTTCCATCTTATTTTCCTAGGTAAAACAGCTCCTGATGCCTTGACTCAGGAAAATTCCCACAACATCTGTTATATAGACAATCTCTTCTGTGGATGATCATTTAGGATATAGTTTTTTTTAGAAAATTCCCCCAATAACACTCCCCTGAATAAATCTTCTTATACTTCTTGCTTGAAAAACAGCAAACAGTATATTACCCTTTCAAATAATATCAGTCATGTCCCTCCTGAATAAATCTTTACGATAATTTCTGCCTGCAAAACATATATTACTTCTCTAACTGAACATCCTTATATTTCCCCCTTAATAAATATTTCTGATACCTTCTGTTTGAAAGTCAACATGTGAGATATTACACCTCTAAATGATCCTTCATATCTCTTCTGAACATATATAACTCGAACATTCTCTCACACTTCTTTTCGCTCCTCAGCAAATTCTTCTGACATCCTGTTAACTGTCCATTTTGTTTCACCGTTCAAAAGGTCGCTTGGGCTTACCATTACCCCTTAACGACAAAGATGGCCACTAGAGGCGAGTAATAACTCTATAGAGCAAATAAGTTATTTTACAGAACCCGACAAAAACAAGTTGCTATTATCTCCTTTTAACGTCACATTTTCGTAAAGTTACATCTAAGAAAAAAACGAACGAATAACAGTCCACTTACGGTGGTTCACTGCTAAAGTACTGGTCTAAAGGAATCAAATGTTGTTTGTTGTCTGCTGATGAGTCACGTCTTTTAAAAGTGATGCTGAAAGTAAAAACAGACCATTAACCATAACTATACTAGTCTAAAGCACTCATCTATTGTTTGTTGTCTGCTGATGAGTCACGTTTCTTTAACGTGATGCTGAAAGTAAAAACAGACCATTAACCATAACTATACTAGTCTAAAGCACTCATCGATTGTTTGTTGTCTACTGATGATTCACGTTTCTTTAAGGTGATGCTGAAAGTAAAAATAGACCATGTACCATAACAATACAATACTATTGCACTCATCTATTGTTTGTTGAATACTGACGAGTCACGTTTCTTTAAAGTGACGCTGAAACTAGAAACACACCATTAACCATAACTATACTAGTCTAAAGCACTCATCTATTGTTTGTTGTATATTGATGAGTCACGTTTCTTTAAGGTGATGCTGAATGTAAAACAAACTATAAACATAACTATATACTGGTCTAAAGCACTCATATGTTGTGTCTTCTCCGCTGATGAGTCACGTTTCTTTAAGGTGACGCTGAAAGTAGAAACAGACCATTAACCATA